AAACCTGATTACTTAAAAAAAAAAAAAAAAACTCCATGCATATAATCCAGAGTTTTCTTTTAAAAAACATCCTGCCATTATCAGCGCACAATAAATCTTGGGATGTGTGAGGCCGCAAAGAATTCACCAGTTGTGTCCTTAATTACCCATGGAAATGAACGTTTGAGGCTTCCATGCAAATGTCTACCTTGCCATTTACCAAAATCACACAAGTGCCAATTTCACATCTGCCGCATCCATAACAGAGCTTTTTCCTCATAAATGCAAAAAATGTCAAATAAAATCAAATTATCAGATTATAATAAAATCATTTTTGTTCTATAGAGAGCCAACTCTTAACCTTCTGAATAGCATTATTTCTTTTGGGTTGAGCAGGTTAATTCACAGAATTTCTTTTAAAGTATGTTGTATACTGTAAACTCCTACTGTAACTTTTTGTCATCACATCCATAACGCATGATTATTTTCCTCATTTAAAATCTAGATAGATAATTTTCTGCTCCCATAAATCTGTGGTTAGTTGATTTGTAAAATACAAACAGATGTTTTAATGTAATGTTAACATATACTTTCTCTTTGAGATTTCACTGCAAATGTCACATCCATAATGCTGGAATTGCTTTGCTGCATTTGAAGGAGCCTTCAATTTTTTTTTTATTAAATGAGACAGCCTTCGTCTCAGCGCAATTACACAGTGCCTTTCAACCGCATCCTTTGGAGGATGCAGCCTCTGAAATCAGACACAGCTTTTGACTTCTATAGTTTTTGTTTTTTCATTCCATGGTTGTCAATGGTTACCAGCTTCCAACATTATTCGAAATATCTTATTTTGTGTTCAACAGAAAAAAGAAACTCATAAATCTTTGGAACCACCTGGGGGTCAGTAAATACTGTGTATATATTTTTATTTTTAGGAAAGCTATGTGAACCATTGGGTGAACTAGATGAACCTTTAAGAGGTTAAACCCTCTTCTGTCAAATCTCTTAAAATATGTATGACTATTGCAACTAATAAATGTCTTATATTAGGTATTTATAGTTCTTTAAATTTTTCTTAATCATAAAAAGAACAAAATATCGACTACTGTTGCTTGCGCACACATTTTCTGATTGAGGTATAGATACACTTATAAAAATCTTTGTTTTTATCTAAAAAAAAAAAAAAATAGTATTTTAGAAAAAGAATACAGGAATCTCCAGAAATCTGACACTTTCAAGAATCTGAGAAAATATTAGATCATGTGTCTAAGGCTGTGTTTAATGTGCATATTAGTTTTATGGTAGTGTTATATGCTACTATGAATACTAGAGCACCATTGCAACAAATGGAGGAGCAGATAACATTTTATAATGCCTATAATTACCTACATTCTCCAAAAACTGTTCAGGCCTGTGTAAACCAATTGCAACAAACCATTTGAGTAAAAAAAAAAAGCAAAACAGTCAGTTTACAGGACTACCAAATAATCTTAAAGGGCAAAGCCTTAAATAAATTTCGTTAAGTTATGTTTTTTTCAGCAGCTTGGGTGCCGGAAAAAAACTCAAAATAACTGCAGTTAAATAAAAAGTACTGTGAACTTACTCCATTTAAGTTCAAAACTCTTTTCAAATAAGTAAAATAACTTTAAGTAAATTTTGAGTTAACTACACCCATTTAATTTGATAAAGTTGACTGTTGGGTTTTACAGTGATTAATCAAATAAGAATAAATATATTTTTTAAAATATCAAGACAAAAACATTTTCAGATTTCATATAACTACAAAATAAACAAATAGTGGATTAAATATTATCATAACATAATACAAAATTATAAATAACATCACAATATATAAATATGAAAAATAATTATTAAAAGTGGAATAACTCCACAAAAATGACAAATTTGATTCAAATTTATAATAAAATGTAAACAAACTAAACTTGTAATGAATGAATGCAGAATTGTAAAGAGTAAAACATTTTAATTACACCAAAATCACAGCATATTTCAACAGTATTGAGTCTAATTTTTCTTTTACAATAAATATTTGCATCCAAACTTTTAGGATGAGAGTCTCTTGCACGCGGATGATCAGATTGGGGTCCCATGCTCTTAAAACCTCTTTAGGTCTGTGGTAAATAAATAAATAATCACGCTTTAAGTATATGTCGTTAATAAATAAATCAATGTTTTTTAACTAACGTTATCATTACTGCCTCCGTGTGGCAAATGTGAAAATAAACCTTACAGCACAAAGCAAAATGGTTTTAACGGGAAATAAACGTCTCTTAATGTGACCATTATATTGGATGATGTGCTAATCACCGGTTAAGCTGATCGAGCTGTTTTTCCTGACGGGGACAAACATTATGTTAATGCTAATGCATGTAAATAAACTGCATTTTGAGTACTGAACTGTTTTGTGAATGTGTGGGTTTGGTTCTCGTTATAGGCCTACTTAAAAATAACCATATACAAACACAGACGTTATTTTGCATTTTTATTTTTCAAATGTTTAAATTACTAAACATTGTATAGAACATTATTAAAATGTTCTAATAAATCTAGTTATCATAATTTCCCCGAGTGAGTGCTTTTGTTTTTAAAAGTGTTTGATATGTTAAAACGTTATCAACAATCCTAAAACACAGGATAAAAACTTATAGCGGAACAATTTTGAGTAATTTTCAGCTTTGATTATGCCAATTAGGCCTATATGATTAGGTTTATATCAAATAACTAAATCTATGTTCTTTAATTTGTCTAGTTTACGTGATTTTCTAACTTTAACAATTTACTGCCTCCCCGTGGCAAAAGTGAAAATTAACCGTATTTTTATTATTATAAGCATTGAAACACTATACGAAGTATAAATACAAATTCAGACACAAGCTATCCAAGACCATTACAATAAGTGAAAAAACATATCCAGAAATAATTAAACAAACATAACAAGTGAAAATAAATAAAATAAAACGATATGTAATATAAACGTACTAGATAAATAATAAAAATATTGCAACACAATCATCAATTACAGCGCGGGGTCAGCACAACAAAAAATCTTCCATGAAATCTAACATTCTTTTTGTTGTTAATTTGCATCAAAGACTTTTACAAAGTTTAAATAAATAAAATAAAATGGTTTTTGCTGAACACTTCACAAACTTCTGTTTATGAATAAAATATCCACCTTGTAAGATGTAAAAATTAACAACATACTCGTATGTTTTTTGAGTATGAAAAAGAGCAAATGACAACTTTTTAAGAGAGCCTGTAATTAACAATTTTCTAATTGTCTAAACGTCTAATAACACGTCACCTACATACCAAAATCTAAGAGAAACGTCACATCACAGTTATGGAAAAGATGAGATAAGTCTTCCTATATTAGAAAATAAATCTTTATGCGCAAAGTAAACCGGTTTTGACGGGAAATCGACGACTCCAGATGTGTAAATCTTAGATGATGTGCTAATCACCGATTAAGGTATTGGGCTGTTTTTCTTGACGAGGTAACATTGTGTTAATAATGCACGTCAAAGACCTGGATTCTGAGATCCCACTTTAAGTAAGATGTGAAATTCAAAAATGTAAAATTCTGTCACCTTTTACTCTCCCTTGACTTGTTCCAAACCAGTCTGAAAGATATTTTGAAGAATGTTGGAAACCTGTAAACATTGACTTCTGTTGAACAAGAATGTTGGAAATCATTAAATTCCACTGTAGGCTATTTGCTTTTTCCTATAAGTCATTGCTAGGATACAGGTTTTCAGCTTCTTCTAAAGATATTAACTTATTTTTTTAGTTTAACAGAATAAAGACACTAAAACAAGGCTGAGTTGGCGTAGATTTTGGGGTGAGCTATCCCATTGAAAATACTATAACATGCAATATTTCAGGGTGCATTTTCAAAACGTTTTTCTTTCGTGTAAATCATTTTTATTATAGGTTAGATCACTTTTACTTTTCAAGTATTTAAATGTTTTTAAAGATTTAAATTGTTTTTATGTAATCTTTTCATTTTTTTAGAAAATCTAAAAAGTCAGTATCTTATGTTTTAAGGCACAAAAGTCTTTAGAAATTGACGATTCTTTTATGGTAGCCTCAGAGTTTAGTAGTTCATTTACATTTGAAGCTCTATAAATATTAATTCATAGATTTCAATTAAATGATGTCAATGACATTTTCTATATCTATTTATATATTAATTTATCTATTGCAAATATATATCTTTAAAACCTGTCCTGGTCTTTTAATATGGAAAGTTTATGCATAATATTAGCATAAGTGACATTCATTCGTTTTTTTTTTTTTTTTTTGGCTTTGTCCCTTTATTAACCAGGGGCTGCCACAGAGCGGAACGAACCGCCAACTTATCTAGCATATGTTTTACGCATCAGATGCCCTTCCAGCTGCAACCCATCACTGGAAACACCCATATATTCCTACTCACGCACATACACTACGGACAATTTAGCTTACTCGATTGACCTATAGCGCACGTCTTTGGACTTGTGGGGGAAACCGGAGCACCCGGAGAAAACCCACGCAAACACGGGCAAAACATGCAAACTCCACACAGTAAGGTGGAGGACGCCACCGCGCCGCTCTCAAATGTAACATGTATTTAATAAATATTTATATTAAATATTATTTGAATATAAAGAAATTATACATTATAAATAAATTATATACCTAAATTTCGTATTCTAAAGTGCAATGAATTGGTAAATTAGAAAAATTTTATTAATATGAACTTGTTAATATTGTAATTTAATACAAGCATTCGATTGTATGAATATATAAACATTTTAAAATTACAATCAATTAGGCTAGTAGTTTGCACTGTGAGCTATAATGTCATATGGGTCTAGTTTGTTCTCTAATGGTCACACAATCGAAAATATTTTGTTATTATATTATGTGTTAATGGTAATCATCAAGTAAACCATATACAAAAATGAAGAAAATGTTTTTATTAAAAGTGAACAACAAAAATAAAAGTGCAATTTCCACTATTTACATAAGATCTTTCTCGTTGTTCACCAGCTCACAAATGTATTGAACATTAGAGGAGAGCTAAAGAGAGTACGATCATACTGGATCTGCTGAAGGAAAAACAGTCCTAACTGAGGTCCTGAAGATAGTCGAGGCCTTTTCGTCGAGACTAAGTGGTTTCCTTCTGCTGAAACAGGGTAAAAACACTCCACTGCAGCATACATGTGTTTTCTCTTTGTCGCTGCACACTGCGCTTCTCTGTAGTGTGGATGTTCCTCCATCTGCGTACTGCGCATGCGTTTCACTCCATGGTCACTCTTTAGCAAAGATTCAATGGAGAACGGGCCTGTAAACTTGACTTCGCTTTTATTTTCTGTAGCCTTGCAGACTGGCACGAGTGTGTCATCATGAACACGTGAATAATCTCCACGTGCCATAAGACCAGGAAACATGTGCATAATGTGTTTGAAATGTCGGCGGAGCATTTTTGGAGTAATGCCATTTTCGTCCACTTTCCAGTAATTCTTTTTGGGATTTGGATAATCTGGATCGACTGGCACCTGAACACAAAAAAACCAAAGAGTTTTAGTATCAGTTGGTAACAAATAGGCTACTTTGCAACTCGTTACTGTGGTAAAAAAAAGTATAAATATTATCTTAGTAAACACACCTTCACAAAACACTTGTTCGACGATAGACAGACTCTGATGTTGTTCTCAATGCTCCTTTTTTCTCCAAACACAAATGGTTCCAGCTTCGTCATTATCTGCACAAACAAATGAAGACGTTAGCCAAGTTTACAGAAAAGTATAACTTAGAAAACAGTTGTGGATTTTGCAGATTTACCTCTTTGAATGTGAGCTTCTTGTCCGGTGATTCTTGAATTGCATATGCAATGAGCCCGGTGTATGTTCCTGCTGCACACTGCTTCAATCTCCTTCTCGGAGCGCCACTGGACTGCGCCAGAAAACTGCTGAACTCTGCGGTCTCTCCGTTAGTCATGATGAGCTTCAGATCCAAACTCAGAAAGACCGATAAAAACAGGCTTCATTTATACAGACTGTGTCTTTCAGTGGGTCTACAAGTGCTAATGAGACCATTAATAAGTGCCATTCATAAAAAAGGTGTTAACGGCGAGCGATTACTTATGGATAGCCCACATCAAAACAGACCTGCATGCTGAAAGAAGGTTGTTGAAATATTTGTTGGTTTAACTTGTATTTTGTACTCTATAAAATATAGTAACCTAAAAATGTGAAAATGAGTTCACATGCAAAAGTGCAATCTGATTTAATGACGGTGTCGGTGGATAATGTCTCACCAGCACCCGTGGATTATTATTCTGTTTTAAAGATTAAGATATTCAGAACTCTAAATTTCAAAACCAGAAATTCAGATTGCGAAATTAAGATTCAGCAGAGAAGGAGTGAATGTGTCCTTTTCAATTAAAAAAAAAATATTGACCACACACATTTATGTTCAATAAAGACACCAATTAAAATGCAACTCAGTCAGTTTACAGGACTACCAAATAATCCTACACACTGTAAAATACATTTCGTTAAGTTATGTTTTTTTCAGCAGCTTTGGTGCCAGAAAAAAAAACTCAACATAACTGCAATTAAATAAAAAATATATATATTCCTTAAATTTAGATTTCCGGTAAATTTCTGTAATTTGACGTCTGTTATTTTAGAGTAAATATCTGTAATATAACGCCGTTAACTGACGAAAAAAAAACTGTAAAATAATAGATTTTTTTACAGTTAGAAAAGTAATCGTTTGTGGTTATTAGACTAAAAATCCACAACTATATTTTTATTGTTATTAATGTGATAAAACTCAATTAAACTTAAATATCAGCCATACTAAAAATGCAAAAATTTGAATTGTATGCTATACTAGCTATTATTTCAAAATAGTTAGTACAGGCTCTGTTTCAAGTCTTCATGGCACATACCTTGGTAATGTTTATAATGTGTATTCACGGAACATCAGCCTATATTAAAACAGTTAATATTTTTGTGGAAACCATAATCCATATTTTTCAGGATTCTCTAATAAACAAAAAGGTCAAATGGGCATTTAAGACATCTATGATCATATATATCTCGGATTTAACATATTAACTTAAAACAGCCATTGCTTAGGCCATGGGTGTCAAACTCAATTCCTGGAGGGCCGAAGCCCTGCACAGTTTAGTTACAACCCTGCTCCAACACACTTACCGGTAGGTTTCAAACAAGCCTGAAGGACTCCATTAGTTTGATCAGGTGTAGGTGTAAATTAACTATCTGTATAATCTTCAAGGCACAGTTTTTCAAAAGTAATCCCGATTTTGGATCTCAGATTGGATCAAATCTTGGAAATGGGTTTTTCAAAAGTAACAGAGGGTTTTTGTAAGATCAATCTAATCTTACATATGATGTAGATCAAACCTGCCCTTTGGGTTATTCAAAACTTTGAACTTCGGATCTATTTGAATAATAAAAAAAAAAAAAAAAACAGGATTATCACGATTCCATTAGAAGAGTGGATGCAGTTGTTTTTTTAACCAAATAAAACAAAGTTTTATTTTAAAGTGAATAATCACAAACTTAATGACAATATTGTATTAGAACAGTAAAAACAGAAAATGTTTATTGATTACAGGGTTTCTGTTTCTTACCAACAAAAAATGGCTGTTTGTGGCCACTAGTATTTGTTGTGTTTTGCTAAGCCAGTATGCTACTGTTGGTTCCATTTAAGGCTGGTAAACAGGATTTGGTCATTCCTGTAATCCTGAAATTTGGTATTTGGATCACAATGATCCAATGTTACTCAAAAAAAACTGTCAGAAAAGTAAGATAGATAAATTAATACTGGATATAAAAACATGGGATTTCCAAATATCAAATCAATTTGATCCAGATTTTTTTTTAAACTGGGCCCTGGTTCTGTCAGTGAGCACAAATGGTTAACACAATATCAAAACAGAGCACACATAGGCCTTGACTTTTTTTTTTTAAATCGTATTTAGTTGAGAGCAATGACCAAATGCACATAATTTTTCTCTAACAGCTTCTCTAATTGTGCTTTTCAATTTAGATCGTTTATTAGTGATAATCGTGCGCGCTATATTTACAATTCGCATATAGCCTATAATGTTCGCTTATCACTTCGCTTACCAAATCAGAATAACGTTCTTGATACAGCACGATAAACATCAACGAACAACTTTAACTTTTTGGGCTGAACACACTTTTTTCATTTGTCATGTATTTATTTTAAACAAAATACCTTGCAAACGTGTTCAAGAATGAATGAATGGCGCTTCGTCTAAATAACTTAGCTCGTAGAAATCAGCAAAAGGTTTTCTCATTATTCGTATCGTTATTTTGAAAGAGGAGAATGTGAAAGGGGGGAACGTGTGGACATTGTGTGAATAGCGGAGGAACTTCTCATTGGATGAGGGGCCTTATTATGGGATGGGGTCTGCGTAGAGATACTTAAGAGGATTTTTATTTAAATAATTTAGGTATAGCTTAAAAACATTGTAAAAATTTAAATACGAATACTTTATTATTTTGTTTAGCTGGATGCTATTATTGGTTGTTAACTGCAAAAAAGTGTATAGTTAAAAAAAACGAGAAATGCTGTTCATTTGCATTTGGCGTTAAAAATGTCTCAGGTTTATTTGATTAAACAAGATATCACAGTCAAATAGCCTACGAAGACAGTTGATTTTTATAAAAAAGAAAAAAAGTCAACAACAACTAAAAGTGCTATTTCAGCTCTTCACATTTGGTGTTTCTCACATTTCACCAGCTCATATATCTCTTATCAATCATTAGAGGATAGCTGAAGAGAGCACGGTGATCATATTTGATCTGCTGAGGGAAAGACAGTCCTAACTGAGGTCCTGAAGATAGTCGAGGCCTTTTCGTCGAGACTAAGTGGTTTCCTTCTGCTGAAACAGGGTAAAAACACTCCACTGCAGCATACATGTGTTTTCTCTTTGTCGCTGCACACTGCGCTTCTCTGTAGTGTGGATGTTCCTCCATCTGCGTGCTGCGCATGCGTTTCACTCCATGGTCACTCTTTAGCAAAGATTCAATGGAGAACGGGCCTGTAAACTTGACTTCGCTTTTATTTTCTGTGACCTTACAGACTGGAAGGAGTTTCTCAGGAGCAGATGGTTTATCTTCACATTTATGCACCCATTGTGTTTGAATGCTGTTGTCAGGAAACATGGGCATAATGTATTTGAAATGTCGTTGAAACAGTTTTGGAGTAATGCAACTCTCGTCCACTTTCCAGAAATTCTTTTTAGGATTTGGATAATCTGGATCGACTGGTACCTGAACACAAAAAAACCAAATGGTTTATTACACTTACATTTCGTTGACTTCAGAAAATTAGAAGGTTACATAACATTTGATAAACACACCTTCACAAAACACTTTTTTGCGGACAAACAGACTCTGATGTTGTTCTCAAAGTTTCTTTTTTCTCCAAACACAAATGGTTCCAGCTTCTTCATTATCTGCACAAACAAATGAAAACGTTAGCCAAGTTTACAGAAGAGTTAACTCTAGGAAACCGTTGTGGATTTTGCAGATTTACCTGTTTGAATGTGAGCTTCTTGTCCGGTGATTCTCGAATTGCATATGCAATAAGTCCGGTGTATGTTCCTGCTGCACACTGCTTCATTCTCCTTGGAGCGCCACTGGACTGCGAACTGCTGAACCCTGCGGTCTCTCCGTTAGTCATGATGACCCCTTGATCCAAACTCAGAATGAAGACTGAGAAAACCAGGCTCCATTTATGTCCAGGCTGTGTCTTTCTTTCAGTGAGTCTACAAGTGTTAATGAGACCATTATTAAATGGCATTCAGGAAAATGAGGTGTTAATAGCGGGTGTTTTTAAGGCTACATTAACAGTAAGCTGCAAAAATAATGATGCTATTATTGGTTGATTTAAAACAAAAACAGTGTTTTGCACTTGCGGAAGACGACTTGCTTGTAATGAGCTTCAGGTGGAGGTATTCACCTTTTAGTCATATGACTAAAGCATAAATGGCCGAAAACTGTTTACCACGAGGTGAGATCACGAAAGTTTTCACTAAAGACTTTTCTAATTGTGTTGTTGACAAGTTAGATAGTTCAACATTTAAGGTGATAATTGTGCACGTTACATTTACAATTCATAATGTTTGCACCACCTCATTGACTCATAAAACAATGAATCTCCCTAAAGTTCTTTATTTTAGGCTACCTTATCTAAACACATTACAATTAAATTTTCTTTAGTCATGTCTTTATAAATAAAATACAGTGTATTAGCTACGTTGAACATAATGAAGAGGGTGGCTGTTGATATGGTATCATAATCCACATATCTTACGTTTTTTATTATTAGCCCCCCTGTTTATTTATTTATTTATTTATTTATTTATTTATTTATTTATTTAAATAAATAAGAATTTCTCCTGAAGAAAACATATTATTAGACATACTGTGGAAAAATTCATTGCTCTTTTAAATAAATCTGGGAAATAAAAAAAAATGCAAAGGGGGCTAGTAATTCTGACTTTAACTGTATTTTAGACACACCATAGTCAAGCTTGTATTTTTCTGCTGTAATTGCAGTGTGAAAGTATACTGATTAGGGACTCACACTGCATGATATACTGTGTAGGCCTAGTCTGTTTAATGAAATATGTTGACGTTCGTCTCCACACATATTTAACATTTAGTGTTAGTTTTTTTAAAGAAAATTACTCTGTTCATCAATGCATTTATTAAATGTAAAAAAAAATAATTGTTAAATATTTATTGCAGATTTAAATAACTGCTTTCTTATTGTAGGTTATGTAGTTTCAAAAAATATTACTCCAGTCATTATTGCTTAGTGGTTTCGGAAGGATCATGTGACTGAAGACTGGAGTAATGAAGCTCAAAATTCATTATTAAAATTACTGGAATAAATCATTGAATTAAAATATAAACAACTTTTGAACAGCTATTTTACAGTGACAAAAAATTGTTAAACTTTTTTACTATTTGTTCTGCATTTTTGATTAAATAAACGCAGCCTTGGTGAGCAGAATAAGTTTATGTTAAAGCACTTAAAATCCTACTAATTAATACTAAAATCCTACCCCAAACTTTTGAATGGTACTGTATACATTATTGTTTTTATTTCTTTTTTTATTAATTTGAAAACAGTATAGCATTCACTAAATATTTAATAAATAGTTCCTAGTTCATGTATTATTTTTATTATTGTTTTTATTAAGAGTGTGTGGAAATTGTATGGACATTTATAAAACAGGCACTTGCTCTGGATAAGGTATAGGACTAGTCTTTTTTAAATGACAGACGATGATAAAGCTTATGCATCTCTACATGCAGTATTTGGATTTTTGAAAGAACAAAGACAATGTAGAAAGTTTTCAGTAAGATTTTTTTGCAACTATTATCAAAACAATGAGTGTGTTTAAGATTTCAAAGTTACTCAATCTATAACTAACCAGACTCCTTTGTTTACTTGACTTAAATTCAAAATAGGCTTAGCTGGGTTTTACCAAAAGAAGTTTATTTAACGAAGAGAAATAGCTTAAAATTTTGGCACCCACATAAAAATAACAAAAGTGGTTTTATATTAAGCAAGTAAAATGCAAGTAGGGTGTATTCTTCACTATTTGGTGTTACTAATGTTAAGTGAAATTGGTTGTGCATTTTTTATTATTTTTTTGCATAAGAAAAGTGTCTATGTTTACACTATGTTAAGTACACAAAGCATTACAGTCAAATAGAAAGAAAGATCATTTTATTAAAAAGTAACAAAAATAAAGTGCAATTTCAACTATTTTATTCGTGGTTTTTCCAGTTCACCAGCTCTCAAATCAGTGGGTCCACAAGTGCTAATGAGATCATTAGTAAAAGACATTCCTAAAAACGAGGTGTTAATGGTGGGCTTTTTCTGATGGCTACACCTCAAAACATAGGTGGCCCTATACATCTTGTTAAAAGAATATGGTTAATATTTGTTGGTTTAGCTTACTTTATAACATCATAAGTATTTGAATGTTATCAAATTTCATTTTAAACAAACACGTTAGCAAATAGTGGATTCTTAAACGGTAAAAGTGTAAAGAGCTGTTTATTTGTGGCTCAGAAATGGGGATTTAGCCTATGAAAACAATAAAAAGTGTAATAAAACAGTTGTACAAGTAAATAAATACATCTCTCAGAATGTGATATATTTAATCCAAAAAAATATTTACCTTATTTTACAAAAGACATCTTGTACGCATATATATTTAGAACATTTTGTGGCTTTTTATGACCAAAGCAAGTGTGAACCAAGACAACTTTTGACAAGACTACATAGTTATTCATTTAGACTATGTGCTAACCTCCTTAATATTAACTCATACTGTGGTTTTGGTAGACAATTTGAATGGACTGATAGTTTGAAACATATTGTCAGGACTCTATAATGAGTGAACATGTATAGAGAAATGAAAGGGTTTGAGATAAACATGCATTAGAAACAGAAACACATTTTCAGTTTAAAACAAAATATAGTTCACAAAAAAAATTTATAGATATCCACAAACATTTATACAAGTATGTGGCAAAAAACGAATTAACGTGCAACAAAATACAATCAGATACTCTGAAATTAGAAACCAATACATTGGCTAATTGTATTGAGTTGAGAACGATGCCTAACTGCACGTTATCTTTCGCTAACGTGTTTTCTACTTATGCTTTATGAAAGTTAGACTGTTTAATATTTATGCTGATAATCGTGCAAGTGCTACATTTGCAATTCACATAAGGAGTGAATGTTCGCGCATCACCTGTCTCGCCGGAACGACAAATCCCCTGAAGTTCCTTACGGACAAGATACATTGTAACAAGCAACAGTGCGGTTGCAACGCGAATCGCTTCATTGTAATATTAATGTAAATATCTATGGTATCATTATACACATGTATTCTTTTGTCATGTCGTTATAACTGGAAGTCCGCGTAAACCTACTGTATATACACGTATATAAGGAAGGAAAGAATGAATGAAGAAAGCGCTTCGTCTGAATATAAAGTGATCACCCCGTCCGGAAACCAATGTGTTTACACCAGCTGTTACTGGTAAATGCGATAATACCTGTAACATTATTTCAAATTTAAAACGTACCGTATTCATACACGTATTTAAATGTTTGTTGCAGTGAGGAGAATGTGTGGAAATTGTGTGAATATATCAAGAATCAGAGACATTGTCCTTTGGAAGAGGTGTATGCAGTATTTATATCTAATGAAAGAAAGAAGGTGAGCTTCATCTCCACACAAGTATTTTACATTTAATGAAATGTACAGTTTTCTGTTATATACATACATACACACACACACACACACACACACACACACACATACATATATATATATATATATATATATATATGTATATATATATATATATATATATATATATATACATATATACACACACACACACACACACACACACGTATACAGTCACCGGTCACTTTATTAGGTACAGCTTTCCAACTGCTGCTCAACGCAAAAATAAGCCAATCACATGGCAGCAACTCAATGCATTTAGGCATGTAGACATGGTCAAGACGATCAGCTGCAGTTCAAACCAAGCATAAGAATGGGAAAGAAAGGTGATTCCAGTAACTTTGAACCTCGAACCTTGAGGAGATGGGCTACAGCAGCAGAAGACCACATGGGTGCCACTCTTGTCAGCAAAGACCAGGAAACTGAGGCTACATTTCACACTGGCTCACCAAAATTGAACAATAGAAGATTGGAAAAGCGTTGTCTGGTCTGATAAGTCTCAATTTCTGCTGCAACATTCGGATGGTAGGGTAAGAATTTAGCGTCAGCAACATGAAAGCATGAATCCATCCTGCCTTGTATCAACGGTTCAGGTGGTGGTAGTGTAATGGCATGGGGGGTATTTTCTTGGCACACATTGGGCCCATTAGTACCAATTAAGCATTGTGTCAACGCCACAGCCTACCTGAGTATTGTTGCTGGCCATGTCCATGCCTTTATGACCAGTGTACCCATCTTCTGATGGCTACTTCCAGCAGGATAACGCACCATGTCATAAAACGCAAATCATCTCAGACTGGTTTGTAAAACATGACATGAAGTTCTGTAATCAAATGACTTCCACAGTCACCGGCTCTCAATTCAGTAGAGCACCTTTGGGATGTGGTGGAATGAGAGAATCGCATCACGGATGTGCAGCCAACAAATCCACAGCAACTGTGTAATGCTATCATGTGAATATGAACCAAAATCTCTTGAGGAATATTTCCAGTACCTTGTTGAATCTATGCCACAAAGGATTAAGGCAGTTCTAAAGACAAAAGAGGGTCCAACCCGGTACTAGTAAGGTGTGCCAAACAAAAGGGGCCAATGAGTGTATATATAGTATGTATGTGTGTTAAAAATTGTGTAATATTTCAGATACCTATTTGGAAACAAAAGTCCAGTCGAGGGGATGAACCAGTAATTTGGGTAGGAACTTTATATGTATAAAAACTATGCATATTTTATGGTAGTCTCTAATTGATATAAAAATGTTGTTTTCCATTTAGGATTACCATGTTATTCTTCTACACGCAAGTAAACAAGGACCGAGCTTCATTTACGATTTAGACACCATTCTTCCATTTCCTTGTTCGCTTGACGTTTATTCAATGGAGGCCTTTCAGTCTGACAAGCATTTGAAACCTGCTTACTGGAGGCAAGTATTATCTGGTCTAATCTGCATTCTACAAAAGATGAAATAACATAAGTGTAACAAGTACTTAATAAATTTATAAAAGAAAAGCACATCATAAAATGTGAGGACAAAATTGAATGAAGATTTTAATATGAATTAGTATTTTGAGGCTGCATTGTTATCCATTTAGTATGGCCTCACATTATTCTTGTTTTAAATATAACTTAGTATTTTAAACTACTGTTACACTTAACTACATTTTAGAGGTCATCTTATGTAAATTGTGGTGATGGACAATAGTCAATTAATTTACTTTTGCATTAAATAATATTATTTTTATATATATATTTTTTAACAAATGCTTAAACTCCTTTATGTCTTTGACCCTTATAATAATAATAGCCAGTCTTAGTTGAATGTAATCAAAGTGTTGTTTGCTCTTTTAGGAAACTTCGAGTCATACCCGGGGACACTTATTTGAAGGAGTTTGCTTCTGATCGGTCTCATATGAAGGACTCCGATGGGAATTGGCGTATGCCACCTCCAGCATATCCATGTTTAGAGACACCAGGTTTGTTTTCTATTGCAGATTTATATACAGTAAATACTATAATTTGATTTCTTCTTCCACTTTCATGTATAACGTGTCCTTTTCAGAATCCAAAATGAATCTTGATGACTTCATCTGCATGGATCCCCGAGTGGGATATGGAGAGGTTTACAGCCTTTCAGACTTTGTTAAACACTTTGGAGTAAAGTAATGCTTTTTTTCCAGCACATTTTTTGTTGTTGTTGTTGAAAAATGTACATAAACAGAGCCTCAGGGAAAGATCCTATTATGATGGAGAATGCTGCAACTAAGCAGGCCTCAAAAGACACATTTATTGACTCTGAAATTATTTTTACTAATTGAACAGTTGGCAATGTGGCTTAATTATAGTCAGGTAGAAAGGTCACAGAAAAGAAAGCCATTGTTGTCATTTGTCGAGGATGTGTATTATTTTTATAAAGAAATCAGTTACACAGATGTACAGATAATAAAAATGCAGAATTTAAACAAACAACCAAACCGAAATGCGAAACTGTGTAAGCAGTTGTAGTGCTGTAGTTTTTAAGCAATTGCTGCCAGGTAATCCTTCACCTCAGCGGGCGACAGTCTGCGAAACCCTGCTTCATTACAAATGCCCACCTCAATGTTGTCTTCTGTCATCTGACCTTCAAAACTTTCCTGTAGATAAAGAGAAAACACTATAATGTAGCCTTGTTGAGATTAACTGGGGTAATTTGATCTTCTCAGTTATTTGAGATGATTGCTGTTTTAATTTTTGACATGCAAACAAGGGAATATATTTTACAATTGTTATCATTATATTATACCATGGGGGTTACTGAATGTTTGATACCAATTGACAAATGTTTAAGGTGTGTAATAATTTTCAGGGAAACACTGTTGTAGTTACAGGCAAGTTTTGACTAGATTACAGTTCCACTTTGGCAAAAACCTACAAAGACATTGACCAGTAATTTTATCAATAAAAACTGAAGCTACATGACATTAAGGCTCAATCCCAATTTTACCCCTTAGCCTTTCCCATTGCACCCTGTTTTGCGCGTTCACATGAAGAGGTAAGGGTGTCTCAATTCTCTTTAGCGTTAAGGGCAAGGGCTATTTTTGGCCTTTTTTTTGCATTATTAAGATTTTTTCACAACAAACAAGCTTTTGTTTTATTGCAATCATAACAGCGTTTGTTTTTTACAGTCATGCTTTTTAAAATAAAACTATGAAAAAAAAGCTCAACTTCGATATCTATAATCCATAATAATAACTAATGTATAGCAGCTCTACAACATTGTCACTCAATGACACTCAAATACCCTGTCAGAAAAGTCTAGTGGCTGGGAATGACCTTTTTACAGTGTCTGGTAAAACATTAAACATTGTTTTTTTTTTTTTGGCTTTTTTAAATGCACAGTACAGTTACAAGCTTATTGCCACATTATATCGTTATAATAACATAATATAGTTGCCTTTGGTGATTTCCTAAAGATAAATACCAAAAAGTCTGCAACTGGAACAACGACAGCAGTCGCCATCTTTGATGTCATATGAAGCAAGAGCTTGCAACGACATGATGACGGTTGCTGGTTTTGTAGTGGTGTCCCATTTCTTAGGGGTAAAAATTGAAGCTCTTCACATTCTGTTTCAAGGGAAAGGGGTGGGGTACAAAAAGAGAATTGGGATTGGGCCTCAGAGAAAGGCAGTAAAAGTGTCTCTCTTTTAGTTTAGCTTTCAGTAGAAAAGTTCCTTCTAAACAGTTGAGAGAGATGCACAGACTTTATTAATGTACGCATACACACACGCTCAATCAATCTTTAGAAAACCTGGGATTTCCAGCAAAAGCTCAAGCCTACAATAAAGACTTAATATGTTTTGGAATTTACAACAGAGGCTTTAGATGACACATTAGAAATAAATTCTTCACACAAGAGCATTTTATGGAAAAAAAGACCTGCCAAATATGAGATGTGGTAACTAGTATAAGATGAATACTTGACTCGGGGCCATTTCATTATTAGAAAGAAAAAAAAAAAGTGTCCTGCAGCGATTCTTACCTCTTCTTGCTACTTTCGTTTAATTTTAAATTGTATATATATGCATGTATACTACTTCCCTTTTTGTTAATGTTTTTTTTTTGTAATTCGTTTTGTTTTTGTCTTCTCTGGTTATTATTATGTGATTGATTGTGGGACACCCTTGAAAATGAGATGGTACATCTTAAGGGGTTTATCCTAATGAATAAATATCAATTATCCACTATAGAAAATTAATAGTCATTTAAGGATGAACTCGCCTTCAAAGTTAAGATGGCAGTGTGTATAGCATCTTCAAGTTCCAGATCTTCATTATATCTGTAACAGAATAAAGCTGTGCTGTAAAACTTTTACAATGTAAATAAATAGATTGCCAATCATCAATTATTCAAGCTACAACGTGATACCTTTTTTCAAGGAACGTTTTTCCATTCACATAGTTCTTTCCCATTGCTGTGGCTTTCCAAGCGAAGTATGCTCCCTGTGGGATATCAAAGAAATGCTTGGCATTATAATGTGATCAAATACATAAACAGAAAATAAAATGGTTTTTATTTATTGTACCGATGGGTCTGACTGAAATAAGTATGGTCTGTCTTCGTCCCAACCAGCGATAAGGAGAGACACTCCAAATGGGCGTACACCTCTATAAGACACGACGGTTAAATTACTTCAGGAGCTCTATTTATGTCTAGTACAGTAATAATAGACAAGAAATGAACATACCCTGACTGTGTGTATTCTTGCATGACAGAAGCCACTCTCTGTACCAGCTGGCCTGTGGGGATCGGCTCTTGATAGACCAGGAAATACTGCTGAGCCAGCTTTCTTGCCCTTCTGACCAGCACCCTGTCAAAAATAGATCATTTCTATTGACCTTATACTGCAATGCGGAACTGCCCTCATTTTGTGATTGTTTTAGAACTTCCGATTTAGTTAGAGAAAAGACCAGGAATAATCAACGACAGAACACAGTCAAACTACTTGCGCTACAAACAAGTGTTCATGACTATACAGACAAAGTAGAATAATATAATAAGAAAAGATCAGTTTGCGACATCAAGCAGCATAACAAGCTGTTTATAACGTCTAGAAATCAATGGAAGTGAATGAGACCCGAAGTGTTTCCAATGCATGATGGCAGTTTCAGCTGTAAGGGTGCTAACATGGCTCATTCTAAAATCATTACATTTTTAGATCATATCAACCATTTATTCTAAAACAAAATATTGTTAATTAATACCTGTAATCGGGGCCCATTCCACTGTACACCATGCCAATGTGTTTGGTTATCGGTTCAACTTTGTGCACGCTCTGTTCATCGTACAGTATGGACTTTTGTTTCTTCTCTGTTGCCAGCACAACTCCATTTGATGCTGCAAATATAATTACAAAAGAGGCCTTGAAAACAAAAGTACAACTGATGCATATAATATGCATGGAAGACCCTGAGAATGTACAATAATTAAGAACATCAGACACTCGTTATGTGTAAAGACATAATACAACATTAACAACTGTGTGCAGCTTAGTGGCAGATTTAAAACGACTAACGTTATCTCTGAAATCTGAAAAAGTCAAAAGAAGTGGCAAAGAAAAAGGTGGTTTATGGAGAGTACAGTGTTCATTTATGCATCCTAAAACTATATTTAAAATGCCTCTTAGTTGCTGAAATTATCAAATAATGGTGGACGGCTGCTTCTCACTCAGGGCTGTCTATGCGAATGAGGAAGAGATTGTCAAAAATGGGCGGGATTTTCTCCCTCTGATGACATGTACAATAGGACGATGTCAATCTAGGTGTTTCTACCCACTGATTTTATTAAGTGTGATTTTATATATTAAAAAAAAAATATTAGAGGCTTGCTTTATTCAGACACTAGTTGTTGCGTTTATTTTAAATGAATTTTATTTATTTCTCTTTTTTTGGGCTATATATATATATATATATATATATATATATATATGGATGGATGAATATGGTTACTATTAACTATTAATAATTTATAATACTATAAAAAATGTATGGATTCATGAAAAATTAACTTTTTGTACATGTTTTTACAAAAAAAGAAAAACATTTAAATTAATACTTAGTTAATATTGTTTTAATTAATATTGTTATTTTTCCCATCTGTATCCAGTTATTCTCTTATGGCATGTACTTATGTATTTAATGTACTTAATTTTGTATTTATTGTTGTTTTGTTAACCAAGTTAATGAATGACAGGTTAGAGGATGGGATTAACAATGTACAATATATTAATGTTTACCTCTCACTATTTAATTTCAATTGTCATACAAAAGACCAATAAAATAATAATAATACTGAGCTCAAGAAAATTATATAAAGTCAGTGATTTACAACTGGTGTGTCTTTAACGGTTTATCAGTTATTGTTCTAAAATAAAAGTCCTTAAGGAAAAATTAGTGTTTACTTCCCAAAACAGATTGTTAAAATCTGTGGATTTTCATATTGTGGCTAGTCTGAGTAGCATTTTATTTGTAGACACTTAAAATGCCACTTCACAAGTACTTCTGTGTATTTATGCAATGTAAAAATGATCAGTTTCTGCACTGTATACAGATTTCATACAGCTCACTGCGATGAAGACAAAATGTGTTACATTCAAATGACACCTAAAACACGTCATCTTGCTTCAAAAATGTCTGAATTTGACTCAAATACTGGATTCAGCACTTGACTTTAGTGTATTTTTCAGCAACTGATGTATATAAACTTGCCTTTGATTCCTACAGACGGGGCACCAGCTGCTACTGCGGCCAGAGCATATTCAATCTGCACCAGTTTGCCAGACGGGCTGTGGATTAAAATAAAAAAAAAACATCAGTTCAAGAGAAAAACAACCGAGTTATATCTGAAATGAAACATCGCATTTTTTACAGATGCAGATAACGTTACTTCGCATTGATTGTGAACTTGGGCGTTTAATATTTTAAACCGAAAGATTATCAACTCGAACAAAAGCTTTACACTAACACTTTTTTCTAAGTTAGCTTGTCGTAATAACTTACAAGTTACAACATAAATCACAAAAGTTAAGCAAGATAATACTCGTCACCAAAAAAATGAAACGATATGCAAACTAAGCAATGCGTAAACGAAATTAAAATTCAAGACGTTAAAGTCCTTCATAATAAAAGAGAAAGCACAAAGAAAAGA